GAGAGAGAGAGAGAGAGAGAGAGAGAGAGAGAGAGAGAGAGAGAGAGAGAGAGAGAGAGAGAGAGAGAGAGAGAGAGAGAGCCTCGAAAGTTATTTTCAAATTTCTTTCCTCCATTCCGTCCATGAAGTTGAACGCGTTTAGTACATGGCATTGCTTGCTTGTCGTTTTATGAAAGACGAGGTTGTCGACGGCATGTTCGATGGTTTGGCGTCTACCATCGTCGCTCGCTGAATACGTGACAGTGTGACAGTGTGACACGACGCAAGCATGCAAGCTTGCGACGATGGTAGACGTCAAACCATCGAACATGCCGACAAGGTCGGCGACAACCTCGTCAAAGTAAGCTTGCATGGATGTGGAAGAAGGCGGGGAGAGACGAAAAACATGGACTCCGGGACGTTTCTTTTCCCGTTGAACTTTCTCCAGATATTATAAATGACGACGGCCTACAAATATCGTCGTCGAACTGACCCGGCCCAAATTCCAGAACACGTTTTCATCTGCCCACGTCACGGTCGGGGATCTGAACATTACATTAGCCTAAGGCTGTACTTCAGCAACTTATGGGTGTACAAACAGATAGCCCCGTTGGTTCTTTTGGCGTTTAAAGAGCACACGTAGAAGTGGGTCAGGGAGAAGCAGATGTAGGAAGTGGCACCGAAGTGTGGTAGTGCAAGAAGAGGAAGAATGGTGGACAGCGAGGCCAACGCCGATCATCCAGGCGAGCGTGCAGAAATGCTCTGCCAACATGACAGCACCTGGCAGTGCACGGACTGAGGAGCGTGATCATAGCTGGCAACGCTCTCTCTTCGCCGACACGTTTCGGCTGAGAGCGCTCCAGCCTCGTCGGGGGCTGTCCGCTGAGCCTTGTCTGTCAACGCACGTTTCAGGCCTTGCCTTCCAATAGTAGTTCCTGTGGTAGTAATACTAGAAGTAGTACTAGAAGTAGTACTAGTAGTAGTACTAGAAGTAGTAGTACAAGTAGTAGTAGTAGTACTAGTAGTAGTAGTAGTAGTAGTAGTAGTAGGAGGAGGAGGAGGAGGAGGAGGAGGAGGCGGAGGAGAAGAAGAAGAAGAAGAGAGAGGAGGAGGAGGTGGAGGAGGAGAAGAAACAGCAGCAGCAGCAGCAGAAGAAGAAGGAGGAGGAGGCGGAGGAGGAGAAGCAGAAGAAGGAGGCGGAAGAGAAGAAGAAGAAGAAGAGAGAGGAGAAGAAGAAGAAGAAGAAGAAGAAGAAGAAGAAGAAGAAGAAGAGAGAGGAGAAGAAGAAGAAGAAGAGAGAGAAGAAGAAGCAGCAGCAGCAGCAGCAGCAGCAGCAGAAGAAGAAGAAGAAGAAGAAGAAGAAGAAGAAGAAGAAGAAGAGGAGGAGGATGAGGAGGAGAAAGAGGAGGAGGAGGAGGAGGAGGAGGAGGAGGAGAAGAAGAAGAAGAAGAAGAAGAAGAAGAAGAAGAAGAAGAAGAAGAAGAATAGTGATAAACAGCAGTTATAAACAGCAACAGCAGCAGCAGCAGCAGCAGGAGCAGCAGCAGAAGAAGAGTACATCACAGCACCTGCACAGGCATGACTAAGTTCACAAGCGCACAGATTCCGCGACGCGTTTAGGCTGATTGCGCACCAGGACTTATCAAGGGGCTTGCTACACTCCCATATCCACCACACAGGCCACCCTGAGAAAAGAGGGCGGATGGAAAAGCAAAATAGAAGAAGCCTCGAACAGAAGAAGAGGAGGAGGAGGAGGAGGAGGAGGAAGAAGAAGAAGAAGAAGAAGAAGAAGAAGAAGAAGAAGATGAAGGCGGTATCTTTGTGACATGTGGATTCAACTCAGATCCAGTCTTAGCGGTTACACTTGGGTGTTGGGATCGGAGATTGAAGAAGGGCCTTTGGGGCCATAGCCGTAGCTCCCTGTTCTACTAACCTCATATTGTGTCTAATCCTCGTGTGGGGGGGGGGGTAAAGG